TATTCCATGTGATGTACACCTGACATGCCAAAAATGTTGTTGAACGATTTGAACTGGATAAAAATAGCAGACGAAAATGTGTTTACAAAATAAAAATAGTTCGGTAGCCAATGAAAATACCATGTTCATTTGCATATCGACCGTGAAAATACCAAAAACATTATTGCATGAGTGATATGCAAATTAGTTTGGGCCAAAATAAGTGACTGCCTAAAAGTACCATTACTGTTGTTCAAGTTTCATTTCACTCGGCAAGTATATTCATGTACCCCAAGGGGAAAATATCGTACTTCTAAATATTGTATATTTCGAAAAACTGTACTCCAGGAGGGACTACTTTGTTTGCTCTCAGACCTCATTTGCATATGGGTAGTGGAAATACCGATTTTGATTTCAGGGACGAATCAAAATAAACTGAAGTACATATGTAATAATACTTTATATTTACCGTACTGAACCTGCTGATGGTTCAATAGTGTATTAAAATTAATATTATTATTATTATTTTTGTATTAATTTGAATTCAGAACTACAAACAAATTGCTAGACGTAGTGCTGTATTAAAGAAAAACATTTCAAGCAAGAGGGGAATACAATTGCAAAGCAAGGATGAGATGAAAACATATTTCGCGTTGCTTGCAGACATGTTCATGCCCTCCAGGGTTCAAATGTCTCTGTCCTTATCTCGGGCAGTTTGTTTGAGATTCAATCCCCACCAGTTGAACCATTCTGCAACGCGATCGTCAAAATATGGCCCTGTAGCCGCGAAAGACGACAAGTTTAGCGTCCATGACTGGGTCACTGTTAGTACTAACAAATCTTTACGCTTCAAATTTTTGTATGCAATGATATGGCATCACTAATAAGACATGTAGATAATATACTTACGATTGTGATGACTTGGGTGAGAAATTTTGACGAATAAATATTAAGACAAAACAGAAAGAAGTACATGGACGAGCGGTCGATCAAAAGAGCTTTGAAACGGAAGCTTACATCGCCCTCTTGCGTTTTTACGGTATCGTCCCCGAAACGGGAACAGCCACTGGTGGCGCTGTATACAATCGAAACCTATTCAGGCTTGCTAATACAGTTGTCAGTGAGTTGTTTAATTTGGTGACTAGTTTAGTGTGATAGAAAGTGTGTACAATCTTCAAATTTATAAAAGTAGACAGAATGTGGGCCAAGACCGAATATACGTGATTCCGGCGTTTCATAATAAATGCTTAAGCGACGCTACCAGATATATACACTGCAAATACCTACTCAAAGTTAACAGCAAAGCGACCAATGTGGCATGTCTTTTAGAATTAGGAAGGTATCCATTAATTACAACAGGGATAAAACAGATGATCAAATACTGGTCTCGAATAAAAAAAAATGCCTGAAAATTCGCTGGTATATGAAGCATACAGTCTCGGCTTAGAACTAGACAACTCTGGCACATACAACTGGGTTTCCGAGTTAAAACTTATACTTAAAGATCTAGATATAGACCATTTGTGGCAGGAGGAAAAAAAGCGAAATGCGAACAATGTAAATATAGATAAAATAATATCAGAAAAACTAAAAACAAAGTTTGAAAACAATTGTAAACAGATTTTAGACAATGATAACAAAGGGAAAAATCACAAAAATAAATTGCGCACTTACAGAGAACTGAAAACAGACTTTGGCTTTGGAAACTACTTACACGTAGTCAAAAATACTCATCACAGGTCATCAATGACAAAATTGAGGATTAGTGCTCACAGACTACAAATAGAGACTGTGAGATATAACAACACAGATATATCTGACAGAAAATGCCTATGTTGTGAAAATAACGCCATAGAGGACGAAGAACATTTTCTTTTAACATGTGATCTCTACGCGAGAGAAAGAAAAAAACTGTATCAGCTGTTATCACCCCAACCCTTAGCAAACAATAAAGAAAAAGTAAAATATATTTTAAATAATAAATAAAGATGAGAAAACAATAATACAAATAGCAAAATACATAGAGAACTGTTTCAAAACAAGAGAGGAAAAGTTGAAAACATTATAGTCAGCTATCTCAAGATAAGGTCATGTACATGCAATAGTAATCTAAACATTCACCAACACAAATGTGGAAAACAATCCAATTTACTTTACCATTATTTTTTTTTCTACTTTTATTTGCTAGTTGTTTTTATTTATTTTCCTGTGTGTATTTTTATTCTCACTTTAATTGTTTGTTTGTCTTTATTCACATCTGTATTGCATTTTAGTCAAAATCCTAATAGGGATACGAACGCAATAAAGATAATTATTATACACAAGATATTAAACAAGCCACACCAACCCAGCAACTATTCAGCAACAGATTTGTACACACTCCTGCCATGTCATACTCTGTAATATGCAATTACAATTCTGGTTCCCAATAACTCTGGAGATAGATACTGAAAGTGTAGCCGAGGCATTGATGGAGGTGTATAGTCAGGTAGGTATTCCTCACGAAGTACGAAATGGTATTCTTCACGAAGTACGAAGATACATAGGTAGTCAATTCATCTCTGATCTGATGCATGAGGTCAGTAGATTAATATAAATTAAGCAGCTAACCACATTACCCTACAACCCTATGGGAAATGGTTTACTAGTAGTCGAAAGATTCAACGCTACCTGCACTACCCCTAAAGTCAATGTTAATAAAGATGTGTAATGAACGACCTAATGATTGGGACCTCTATCTACCAGCTTTACTCTTTGCATACAGAGATGTGCCACAAGGTAGTCTTGAGTTCTCTCCCCTTTGACCTCCTCTATGGTGGGCCCATGAAGATTCTGAAAGAACCGTGGACAAAGGATGTTGAGGTACAAGAATTCAAGTCAACACATCTATATGTATTCGATTTGAGAACAAGATTGGGGGAGATGTTCTAGTCAGCACCGACAGATTTGTCTAAATGTCAGAAAAGGTACAAACAAGTTATGATCGCAAATCCATAAAAAGATAGTACAAGGTAGGGAACTGAGTCCTAGTGTTATTACCAACTGACCACAATAAATTGACGATGCAATGGAAAAACCATGTCAAACAGGTCAAACATGAAAATGTTGTGGAAATAAATGGTAAAGATAAAATGTATCATGTTGATATGCTTAAATTCTATAATAAAAGGAAAGATAAGGACCATGCTTGTGTTTGCATAGCGGAATGAGTGCTAGGTTGCATGCACTGCTATTATAGAAAGTGAAGAAGGTGAAGGTGTCATAGACTCAGAACAAATGACAAATGACGGTAATGACAAGTACAGCACACCACGTAGATGTTGATATCAACCCTGTCCCTGATGCTAATGAAGGCCACCCAGAAATAGTGAGTGAATAAGAGAAGAGATAATTCAGGGGGTAAAAAGCATAACATGAAAAAAATTTGATTTACATTATCAAAATTTATATAATACATACAGAAAATACATTTGATTTTTCATCCATGGTTTTTAGTCTAATTTTTCCAGAGCACCTCTGCAATGAACTCAATTTAAATTAGATTTTTTTTAGATATCAGAAATGGGCTAATAATAGATCAATATGCATGTTTATCAACATCAAACTAATCATGTCTAATTAAGCAATTACTATGCATAGATATAGGTCTGTATTATGTTTCAGGGTGCACATGTACAAAGTTTCATTATAATGTGATGATTAATCCTAACTAAATCAGTGGAAAGCTGAAAAGTAAATTATCATGCAAATTAGGTAATTATTATAGATGTATAAAAACCTAAAACTAATTTGATCACATTGTGTTAGAGTACATATGTACCAAGATTCATTGAATTAAGGTTAGTACTGTCACAGACCATCTTTGTAGGAAGTTAATGTGTTTAGTACCAAAAAATATGTTTTATTATGCAAATTCGGTAATTAATATGATCTGATTTTAACCCAAAACTGTGCGAGTCTGTGCATTGTTCTGGAGCACAATGTACCAAGTTTCATTGACTTGGAATAATTAGTACATGTGATATAAGTGTGAAAGCTGAAAATTGGCTAATTATGCAAATTAGGTAATTAATATGCACTGATTGTAACCCAAAACTAATCAGGTCTGTGAATTGTCCTAGAACATCTATGTACCAAAGTTCATTGAAATGGGATAATTAGTACTTGCGATATCAGTGTAAAAGCCAAAAATTAACGAATTATGCAAATTAGTTGATTAATATGCACACATTTTTACTTAAAATTAATCAGGTCATCCTATGTATCTATGTAAGTTTCATTGAAATGTGATAATTAGTACCTGAGATATCAGTGGAAAGCCGAAATTGACTAATCATTATGCAAATTAGGTTAATTATATGCATGGATTTTTACCCAAAACTAATTACATCTGTGCGTTAGTCCAGAGCATCTATGTACCAAGTTTCATCAAAATCAAAGATATCAGTGGAACAGTCATGGTACAGCTAAAAATTAGCTAATTATCATGCAAATCAGGTAATTAACATGCATGGATTTCAACCAAAACCTAAGCAAATCTGTGCATTAGCCCAGAGCATCTATACACCAAGTTTCATTAAAAACCAACATACGGTTCTTGAGATATCAGTGGAACGGACAGACAGACAGACAGACAGACAGACAGACAGACAGACAGACAGACAGACACACACACACACACACACACACACACACACACACACACACACATACACACACACACACACACAGACAGGGTAACTGCAAAGACTCCCATTGTGTGCTTCGCACACGGAAGTCAAAAAAGGGAATTATAGAAGTTAAATTCTCTTTACTCTGCCCCAGTAGTGTTAGTGGCGAAGAAGGATAGTACAAAGAAGTTCTGCGTTGATTACTGGTATCATAAATTGAACCACATTTGATACAGAGCCTACCCCCAGATATATACGATATGTAATAATAACTTTATCTCTGTTGAGATATAGTTGCAAGTTGCATCAAGACAAGTATTTTTTTTTAAATCGACCTGACTAATGGTTACTGACAGGTCAAGATGGCGGTGAACTCGAGAGAGAATGCATTTACAGCACCTAATGGTAGTTATCAGTTTGTTCGTCATATCAATTTAAATTTGTTCAAACTGGAGTAAATTCATTCTATGACACAAGTACTGATGCTTTTTATAACTTTATATAAACATACATCTCTTTTATTAATAATATCTCATTACATTACATTACAGAATAATACACACTTAACATTCGATTAACAGCAGTATAATGTCACATTATGGCAATAAAAGTTAATTTTGCTTTATATGAATAACAGGGTTTGTAGACTGGATATAATACAACTGATAAAGAGTACTTTATGATTCATAACATGTACATAATAAAATAACAAGCAGTCTGTCGGCTGAGATAGCTCTGCTGTTAGCAATGCACATTTCAATTAAAGAACTGAAGATATCATTAGAAAATTAAAAATATGTATAGTATCAAAGCAATTAAAATTGAATATAACATCACAAAATGAACAAATCTGAGAGAGCTTTACCTGAGGCATATGTATAGTATCAAAGCAATCAGACTTGCAGTTTTTAACAAGAATTCAAAAATATCACAAACACCAATAATATTCATCAAAATTAGAGAATTAAAGATATCATTACGAAATGAACAACTCTAAGAGAGGTCTGCTCAAGGTACATATATACCAAGTATCAAAGCAATAAGAATTGTAGTTTTCAAAAAGAAGTTGAGTATTTAAAAATTTGAAACAGACTACGACAACGGATGACGGGCGCCGGCGGACAATCACTCATATGATTATATGAAGTATTGTAATGTGTTGAACTGTATAATCTGAATTCTTCCATTTCATGTTTTCTCTCAACAATAAACCCAGCATGTACAATACTCTGTTTTTGTTCTTTCTCACTTGACAACTCGTATTGTCTGTTAAGTGTGACAGTTAACTGTTTTCTATCATTTATTGTTTCCCATCTATGTGTGTATTCCTCCCCTTTGTGAATAATTAATGAGTGTTTTTGATTAGATAATTGACTATATATACTCTCACATTGATGACAGCCAAACTGAGTTACTGAATTTGATGTCTCAATAACATTTTGATGATTTGAATTTATGTATGTGAAGTTCTTGAGTTGTTTTTTTCTAGTGAATTTCATTTTAATGCTTTTTTTTGAAGAACTATTAATGTCTTCTAACATCTCAATGGCATATGTTTGCATATGGCATTCATGGTTATGGGAAGAGTGAAAACTGATATCACATAAATTACAATACAGCATTTTATTGGTACAAATATGTTTCCGTTGAATATGATTTCTGAGATGACCTGATAGGCGATAACTCTTCTCACATTGTTCACACTGATAAGGCTTCCGAATCGTATGCGTAACCATATGCTGTTTAAGATTACAGTACCTAATAAAACTCATTTCACACTGCTCACAATGATATAGCGTCTCAGTTGTATGCTTAAGCATATGCCGCTTGAAACCTCTTTGTGTGGCAAAACTCTTCCTACATTGTTGACATTGATTAGATTCTTCATGTGTTGCCTTTATATGCTGTTCGTAAGACTCTGAATCAAAAAACTTCTTCCGACAATGCTCACAATGATAACGCCTTTTTCTTTTGGTATGTGTTCGCATACGGGTTTCGAGAGTATGTGCCCAGGCATAACTCTTCTCGCATTGTTCACATTGATATGGCTTAACTTTGGTATGCGTTTGTATATGCTCTTTTAAACACGACTCAGGACATCTCTTTTTACAATGTTCGCAATATGGTATCTTATCGGTAGTTCTATCGGTATCTTCATGCTGTGTAAGATTGTCACTCACAAGTGTTTCTTCTAACACCTGTTCGATTGAAACTTTACATTCATATCTATTCTCAGATTGTTCACCGGGATATGTGAATGTTATCATAGCCATAATAATTAAAGTTATTCACGACATTTATGATTCAAAATGATTGTAGGACTTCTCAACATGTTCACAAAACATTTCCTAATCTTTTCATACAGCATTTTCTTCATCTTATTGGATACAATTCTGATACATGTATTTTTCCAACTCTTTCTGTGCTATTCACTGCAACTGCAATAAAAAAATGAGATGATAATGACAA